ATTCTAAATTTAATTGTACATGATTATATAATTTACATTTGAGTTTAGGGAATGTTAATATAACAACACATTCACATAATGACATACGACACCAACACCAGCCAGGTTTATCACGTCCCATCAGACCACGAAAGGACAATGAATGACGGAGCACAGGACCAAGTTGAAGATGAACAATTAATGTAAACAAAGGTCGTGTCTGTCACCCTCAGCTTGTGATCTTCTCCCCTACTACTATTTTAATTTGGAGGAAGGACTGGTTCTAAGCTAATCTCGAATGCTTTGATGCCTCTTAGTCATCATCCTAACCAAATCCAGCCAATCACCGTCCTTATCGGTTCATCATCACATTTATCCCATCCCATGGGAGAATCACTTGTAAAACACCCAAACGAGCCTCCCCCATGTGGAACCAGCTTTCCTACCTTTGAGGCCCACCGCCGCCTGCCTTTGTTGTCCATGCTGCTTAGCGTATCCGTGACGTTATCTTATTATTAGCGTTATTATTTTATGTTAAATTTATAAATAAATAAATAGGTACTAATTACTAAATTAAATAGATTCCCTTGTCCATATATTAATTATTGATATTACATAATAATAATAATAATAATATGATATTACTGTTATATTTAATATTTTTTTTCGTTACGACAAGGATAGGACTTTGACAATTGAATTTGGGACTGCCAATTTTCCATGATATTGGTATAATGTGCTGAATAAATAAAATATTAATAATTTAATCTAGTATTTAACTAAAATAACTTGTTTATCATATAGTACAAAAACATTTAATTTTTATGCTTAAATTTTTACTTATGTATAATTTAAATTATTTAAATATTTTGTATTCATATGAATATATCATGAACATAATAAAAAATCCACACGACTTGATCTAAAAGTTACATGGCCTAAAATAATGTGACACTAACAATATTATACAACATAACATAATCGATATTGATAAGATAGATATGTTATAAATTTAGATATCTTTAATTTCAAAGTTGAGTTGACAACTTCTTAAACTTAGGTCACGAGAGAGTTATCATTCATGAATACACTAATTATAATGTGAATGATTTGTTTTTAATTAAATCGAAGATATGGATAGCAGTGGACCGGGGCAAGGGCGGGGAGAGTAGTCTCCACCCTATTCCCACTTCTAAAATATTTGTTCACTTTTGGTCCACCCCCGTTAGTGGAGAAAATTTTAATCCTCGTTCATGTGCTGCAGGTAAATTTTGATCTCCAAATCTATAACAATTAATTTCTATAATTTTAAAAAAATATTTAAAATAAAACCATAAAACCTCACAAATGAATCAAACATAAAAATTTACAAAAATAATATATACAACAAATGTGTGTTTTATTTAATTATTTTATTTGTTTTATAATGAGTGGGATGAGGATGAGTTTTAGTCCACTCTCGCCTTCATCTTCACACAAATTTATATAGATATTCTCATAAATGTCTATTATTAAATACGTATGGTTCATCCCCGCTTTAAACGAGACAAGTTTTGACGAATACTCATCCTTTTTTCAGCCAACATTCATCATAAATTAAAAAAAAAACTAATTAAAGTGTACATAAACAAATTAAAACACCTATTATAATTGAACCCAAAAAGTAAAGATTCTCCTTCGTCACCAGGGCCAGAGGCCACCATGTGATACACTGTATCACTGAAATTGAACTCCGGGTTACATTTGTCTTGTACTCGTCAAGTTGCACAAGCTACTGCAGAGGGAAGGGAAAAGAAAGTGTCATTCGACTGATCAAAGAACAAGTATTTTTTTTTTTTGGGTTAATGTCAATTTACACTATGAAACATAGTTCGAATCTCCATTTATATTTTTAAAGATTCAAAATTTTAATTTATACCCTCAAAAATAGAAATTTGTATCAATGTGTACCCTCAAAGATAAAAAATCTCAATTTGCACCCTAAAAGATAAAAAATTATATAAATGTGCTCTCCTAAAGATCAAAAATCTCAATTTACAACCTCAAAGATAAAAATTTGTATCAATGTGCACCTAAAATTAAATTAATAAATTATACCTAGATTTTTTCATATTTGTCACTTGATCATTTGGATTCCTTCACATTTAGAATATTACTCTTACATCTCATGACGTTTGTGCACGTGTAACACGTAACTCCTTTTTATTGATATCTGTTAATATAACCGTTAAAAAATATGATTTTATCTTAATAAAAAAATTATAATTTCATATTAACATTTATTTTATGGGTCCAATATATTCTAAAGTTTAAAATCAAGCTTATCATTGGAATGTCTAATAGAATAAAATGTTGCACATTGAATGATATATTGCATTGGATATAAAAAATATTATATAAATATCTACATTCTATTGAACATTCAAATAGTAAGCTTGATTTTGAACTTTAAAGTATATCGGACCCACAAAATAAAGGGTAATATAAAATTATAATTTTTTATTATGATAAAATTATATTTTTTAACGGTTATATTAACAGATATCAACGAAAAAGGCTTACGTGTTACACGTGCACAAACGTCATGAGATGTAGGAGTAATATTCTAAATGTAAAAGGATGTAAATGATTAGATGACAAGCATGAGGGATCTAGGTATAATTTATTAATTTAGTTTTAGGTGCACATTGATACAATTTTTTATCTTTAAGCGTGTAAATTGAGATTTTTTATCTTTAGGGGTGCACATTGATACAAATTTCTATCTTTGAGGGTGCAAATTAAGATTTTTTATCTTTGGAGGTGCACATTGATACAAATTTCTATTTTTGAGGGTGTAAATTAAAATTTTTGATCTTTGGGGGTGTAAATTAAGATTCGAACTATCTTTCAGAGCGCAAATTGAGATTAATCTTTTATTTTTTGGGGTGGGGGGTAGGACTGTAGAAGAATGATAGACAACTTTATTTATTTTTTATTTTAATTGTGATGAGTGTCTAAGTTAATTTATGCACATTTTGATTAGTTTCTTCTCCAATTAAATCAAAAAATAAATCATTTATACTAAAAATTGTTAATATTTGAATCTAAAATATCTGAATTAGCAACTCATCTATATTATTATTTAAACTCAGGACACCTGGACGCAATGATGGACAGCTTCACTTTTGCGAGATGAAGATTAAGACGATTCCAGTTGTTTGTTTTTGGGGCAAAGACAAGGAAAAAAACAAGTTGGGTTTGAGTCTCTGGCCTTTCGGAAGGGGCATTGTTTGTGGCGCTACAATATTGCTCAATAAATTGATTAGGCAGAATCACGTGAGACGCAAGACTAACAAATTTATAGTAGAATAGGATCTTTTATATTAAAAATTCATATGGGAGAATCTGCCAAGATCTCTTGTCCGAAAGTTTATTGTCTTTTCCTAAAGTGGCTATTTTTCTAGATACTTGTTTCTTCCTTACTTTACCATAAATTAATGCATTCATAATCTTAGAGAGAACTCTGCTCAAAAATAAAAAATATTCTAGACAGAACTCCAAAAAAAAAAAAAAGCAAAATGTTAAAAGGGAATCAATTACTATGAATTGCAAAAAAATAAAAAAAATCATAAGTACTTTTATACTGTTAATTGTATATTGAAATTAAAATACTTTTATTTGATAAATGCGTTAACAACCCAAGTTTTAATTGAATGTCTGATAGTTGTTGAGAGTGAATCTTAGTGGGAATAGAGTTGCAGTGAATACTTCCACAGCTGAAAAAAGGTTCACTCAAAATTCTTCTGCACTCTGGTAGACTAAGTGGTTAGTGTTTTATCAAAAAAAATAAAAAAAAATTTTTGTAGTCAAGTTGGATAGACACGGACTTATATGTATCGGCGAGTAAAAAAAAAATGTATCAGCGAGTGGTGTGGTCTAGTAGGGTATCAGTCGAACTTTTTATTCTAGAGTTCAAGATTTGAGTTTCGGAATTCATATTAAAATTCAGTAGTTGACTGTTATATTAGTCTAACTAAGTTCATTTCTAAAAAGAGTAATGAGTGAAATCAGGAATCTCATAATCTCATTAGTGACGACCTCTCGAGGTGATTTTTGAGTGTTCTCCTTTGTCCTCACCATTTTTTTTAAATAGCAAAAAAAAAAAAAAAAAAGACTTGTATGTGGCCAATCTGAAATTCTTTCTAAATTTCCTAATAAAAAAAAATTGATATAGATAACATTTACCTTTTTGTACATGTATTTTACTATATATGCCGTTTAATTTGAAGAAAAATGATCCGATTACTATTCCTAGAAGTGATATTTATAACTACAAACGATGCAAGACGTACACTGCATGTAAGAAAATTTAAATAATAAATTAGGTACTGAATAATTAATTCATATTTTAATTATTAATTTCTTTTTTTAAGTATTTGTGTACTTAATATGTCATTTATTTAAGTATTTTTTCGACCCTTTTAGGTATATATATATCTAATTATATTATAAAATTATTATTTTTTATTTTATTAAATAGATAGATTGATCCTTATAATATTATTATATACTAAAAAATAAACTATAATATATATTTGACATAAATGAGTTCAAAAGAATTTAAAATTTTTTATAATTTATATGACCTTTATTATAATAATTAGTGGTAAAATAAAAAGTCAAAAATTTTTCATTGATGAAAATGACTAAATTGAAAGAAAAATGAAATAAAACTTAAAAATTGTTTATCTTAGAAAATGGTTTTATTCCGTAAAAATAGACCCAAAGTTTTTATTTTTTATAAAAATTGGGGGTGAAAATTGAAAGTCTGAGTATTCAAAATTTGGACGAATTGTGGATTCGGGAGACCCTAATAGGCTAATACAATGCATTTGGAAGTCTGTGTCCAGTTAATCAACACGTGCGTTTCAAGCGCGACAGGTGGAATCCACATTAATTTATTCAAATTCATTTAATAAGAGTTTTGGACTCCGGAAAACTGCTATAAATCCATGTTAGAGAGAGTCTTATTGCATCGTGTGTATATAATACACTACTAACGCACAGACGCCAAACCCACGAGGAAACACATAGAGAGGGAGAGATGGGTGGTTGGGCAATAGCGGTTCACGGCGGCGCTGGTGTCGACCCAAACCTACCACCAGAGCGCCAAGACCAAGCCAAACAACTGCTCACTCGCTGCCTTAATCTCGGCATCTCTGCTCTTCGCTCTTCCCTCTCTGCTATCGATGTCGTCGAACTTGTCGTACGTTAATCTCTCTCGCCTCCGGCCCTCTCATCGCCATTGTTTTTCATTGTACTTGTTAATAAAGAAAATCTTCCATCATTCTCATTTCTTCTTTTACTTTGATACCCTTTTCGTAAATTTTTCTGCTTGTGGTTTGAACTTTCAACGGATGTATAGAAGAAGAAAGTTTCATACTTCACGCCATTGTTCTTGGGTTTTCTTTGCAGTTAAACGGTGCAGTATTCCATGAATTTGCATGGCATCTTTTTATTTTGTCTGCATATAAAATTATATATACATGTCTCTCCCTGTAATGCCCTTTCTCTCTTTTTTTCGGCCTTTTTTTCGGGTCACCATGTTTCATGATGGGTGGTTCTATACTTACAACAATCTTATTTGAATTTAATTTATTTAATTTGTTAATTTAAATCTCGCGAAGTTCTGAGAGGGGTCTTGATATTGTTGTGTGCGGTTTCACAGGTGAGAGAATTGGAATCTGATCCACTGTTCAATTCTGGCCGTGGATCTGCACTAACGGAGAAAGGAACGGTGGAGATGGAGGCTAGCATCATGGATGGGCCAGGCAGGCGATGCGGCGCCGTTTCGGGGCTAACTACCGTGAAAAACCCAGTATCACTAGCCCGCCTCGTGATGGAAAAGTCGCCGCATTCCTATCTTGCCTTCTCTGGTGCTGAAGAATTTGCCAAACAACATGTAAGATTACCGTTTTACCACTTCCCATTTAATTCCCAAATCTTGGTGGTGAATACCACTTCCAAGATTCATGGGTGGATAGCACGTTTATAATAAATTAATAAGTAATAAAATATTTTGTCTGTTTAACTGAGTTTTGAGGGTGTTTTTGTTAGGGTGCGGAGGTGGTGGACAATCAATACTTTATCACGGAGGACAGCGTTGGAATGCTGAAATTGGCAAAAGAAGCCAACACCATCATGGTAAGTTGCAGTTTACATTTTCATTTAAGCAAACTTCAATTAATCTCTTTATCAAAAATTTATCATTCACGTCGAGAAATAAATTACTTATAATTTGACAACTCTTTTATTTTATAAGTAATACTATACTAATCAAAATTTAAAACCAAATAAAATCTCAAATAACATGATAGTTGCCGATTAACTGTCATATCAATAAAATCTTTTCGTCTTCTCCAGATTAAGGATAGATAGGCATATCAATAACTATCATGCCATTTGAACTCTTTATTTAATCTCAAATCTTGATCAGCGTATCATTACGGTTATTTTATCTATATGCCAACACTCAATTTGTCTTCTAAGAAAGGGAAGGTTACTGATGAGACAAATAACAGATGTTTCTCACTTCTACGTGTGGCTTAGATAGTGGGAAATAATGATCACTTATGTATCAACCATTTGCCTATGGTTCCAAATCTAATGAATTAGGAATGAGAAAATGCTATGAATCCTAAAATTGGTGTCCCAAATTAGTACGGACCCTTGGATGGGTAGGTCTCGTTGAAAAATTTAAATTAAAAAATTAAATATTTGAGGGCACTTTCTAACTCTTCGTGTTTGGTTGATTGGAGCAGTTTGATTATAGAATCCCAATTGTTGGATTAGAATCATGCAGCGCAGTTGTGGATAGCCCATTGCTTATGAATGGACTGCCAATCGGAGTCTACGCACCGGAGACAGTTGGCTGTGTGGTGGTGGATAGCCAGGGCCGGTGCGCGGCTGCCACTTCCACAGGTGGACTCATGAACAAAATGACTGGTCGCATCGGTGACTCGCCCCTGATCGGTGCTGGCACCTATGCGTGTGATTTATGTGGAGTCTCGTGCACTGGTGAAGGCGAGGCCATCATACGTGGAACCCTGGCGCGGGATGTGGCAGCTCTGATGGAGTACAAAGGCTTAGGCCTCCAAGAGGCTGTGGACTATGTGATCAATGAAAGACTTGACCAAGGGAAGGCTGGGTTGATAGCCGTGTCCAGAAATGGGGAAGTGGCCTATGGTTTTAATAGTGTTGGAATGTTTAGGGGCTGTGCTACTGAAGATGGGTTCATGGAAGTTGGTATCTGGGAGTAGTAGGTATTGACTTACTAAATAAAAGACTATGGCTATTAATTAGCGTGCTTTGTATTAATCAGCATGTTGCAATTTAGTTGCATTAGTATTTTATCAATTGCACAAATGAACGCTGCATCAAAATGGGAAAAAAATTATTTTAATTTTCAGGAGAGTTTAAGTAGTCACATAGGCAAATTATAAATACAAACATCTTTGAATTTTTAAAATTTCTTAGGCTTAAGTGGAAAAAAATTTATCTCTTAAGAATATTTTAATCATGAATACTTTAATTCCGATATGAATAGTCAATTATAAAAAAATTAATCAAAATACATATAAATTGACTCAAACATTTTTGAATTCTATTGAACTCCCGTAACAATCCACATACCTGAATGAAAATTCCATGTTAATTTTTTAAACTTGTCATCAATAAATGATCCGTGTATCCACATACACAATCCAAATCTATCAAAAGTTTAAGGCACACCCCTAATCCCCAATCCCAAAGCCATGTCCTAAAATTTTTGTGAATGCAAAGTCACAATCAAACAATTCTTTTTTATTAGTAAATTTTCCAAACATGTTTAAATCATGGATTACTCTTCAGTCAAGTTGTGTTCTTCTCGTCGCTGCTTTCGCCGGAAATGGCTTCTTTTGCAGACTGAAGATTACTAGTCACCGCCGCATCTGCATCAGCCATGACCTTTCCGGTGCTCCGATTATCACCGTCGTCTGTGCGGATTAGATGGGTCACCTCCACATTCTCTTTCTTAGGTACTTCGTCATCTCCGGCCGGTGATCTGTAATCCACCGTCTCCACCTTAATCTCCACTGTACCATCGTCATTCATTCTTTCAGTTCCTGCATTCGCAACCACCCAATTTGCATAAAACCCAGTATAGATCTATTGCCTTCATAAATGTACGGAGAATAATCCCATTAAAGATGTTATGTAATATTAAAAATTGAGTATTAATTATGTAATATTTATACAATTTAAAATTAAAATTAACAAAGAAAAAAAAAAGAACACAACAGAAATTGCGACTTTAAATTGTCAGTTTAGACAAATATATCAATTAATCTCTCCATTTTCTATAAAACTAAGAGACAAAGAAGCATTCTTAACCGTATACGGAAATGAACATAAGCAGAAACTAGGATTTATACATCACCTATGTGGTTGTAGCCATGGTTGAGGCCTTCGAAAGAGACTCTCTATTGAGACCAAGTTGCTGCCACAGTTTGCTTCCAAGGTATGTTCAATTTGAAGATTTTGGGTTTTGAGTTGTATATATAATATAACTAATGATTCGTTTGGTACGATGAAAAAACTAAACGATGAAAAGTTTGAAAAATAAATAAAACACCATGTTTGATAAGAAAGATAAAAAAGTAGATGAATTAACTTTTTTTCTTAACTCATCAAAATCAATCCTCCAAAATCGGAAGGAAAGTGGATAGAAAGTTAATTATTTGTGTTGAGATATATCTTATTTGTTTATATATCTTTTAATGTATATATATATTATGTATACATTATATATTATATATACATTAATTTCATATAAAAATTCAATGATAAAATATGTATATATATATTAAAAAAATTTAAAACTAAATTTAATAATTAAAAAAATTAAAATTAAAAAAAAACTTTATCTTAGCTAGGCTTGAAGATTTTTGACTCAACACGATAACACGACTTGAACTCGACACGAAGTTGATAATAACTCCACACGAACTTGATTAAATTTTTTATTCAAAATTTATGTAGGTCAACACGAATACAAACACGAACACGACACGGAAATAAACAGTTCAACTCGCAACTCGACACGATACAATTAGTTAAATGAGTTGAGTTAGGTTTGACTAATATTCGACACAAACTCATAATAACTTAACACGAATCTGACACAACACAACTCAATTGTCACTCCTAATCTTAGCCAGTATAACAAAAAAAAAATTAGTCATTTTTATTTATCATCCATCCTACCAAATACAAAAAAAAAAAGTGTATTATTCATAATTTTCTTTCTTGAATGATAAAAAATGTATCTCTTCTACTTTTCATCTTTCCTATTTTTTATCCTTCCCAACAAACGGAACATAAGCCTACTCATCTTGGACCCGATACCTATGAGGTGGTGAACTCTGGTTGCATCATTGTTGAGAATCACAAAGATGGGAACTCGTAACAGTTAAACAATTTGATGAGTCATTCCACTTTCTCATGATACCACTAATGGTGAGATAAAAAAAAACTTATAATTTATTTAATTTTATGAAATTAATTCTTAATCTTCTAAATTTGCCAAAAGAAGGCCAACTGATAGAATTTCTGATTTAAAGATTCAATTTTTTTTTTCAACTTATTAATAGAAAGGAAAGATTTCAGATCATGCATACGTAATCATTGTTGTCATTAAATTAAGAAAATAATGTCTTTTAATGTATTGATCCACCTGCCGATGAGATAAAAGTGATTCAAATAACCATTGAATATGAATTTCGAATATCCAACTGATCTATAAGAAACGATGGAATTCTTTTTGAGAAGCAAAGAACTGAAAGAATGTTTCACGATTATCATATTCCTTTAGTAGTGCACGCGGAGTTACACCCGTGGAATTCCCAGCTCTTAAGAAGTGAATGAAATTCATTCCAGTTCTCAGCATGATGCAAGCGAAATATGCACGCGCACTAGTAAAGAGTTAGCTTGAGTCGTGCTGCCCCAGGTGCTTTTGATTTTCTTTTGAACTTCATCCGACTACCGTTTTTTTTTTTCACTAATTTTACTAATGTGGTTATTCCTCATCCATACCTTCCGTTTGAATTTTACAAGACTAAATTTGTCTTTGATGTCAATTTAGTTTTTATTCCTGATTTATAATCTCCCTGCCAACAAGTAGATTCATAGGTGTTGATTTTAGTGAGGAACTCAAGTATGCGCACGATCTAAGAAATTATATTTTACGGAATTACTTCTTAATTTATAAAACACAACAACATCAAGAATTTTCAATTTATAAAACACTACATTAGCATACCCCAATTCATCGTCCACCCTCATATCAGAAGTCAACACAAACAATGCTATTGTTCTTTAATTTATCAAGAATTTGGATTTATGGGATTCGTCATGATAGCCTTTTGAGGAGGAGGGGTACCCAATTAATGCACCTATTTTTAATTTTATTTTTTCTACTGGCTGATATTTGAAGGGTAGTCTTGAAACAAATAGACAAACTGCTGAAAGTATTGCTGCCATCATCCAGTGAAAAAACGTAGCTCCTAGAGGAGTTATAAAAGATAACGTGATTTACCCATAAATAATTGGCACGGAGTCCAATAAAAGAAGGATAATATTGAAATTATATTTGTACATTATGATGATATCATAAAATCTTAGGGCTTATTTGATTGTCTTATTAAAAATTGATAGAATAGATAAAGTAATACAGTCTAATACGATATAGACGGATTAAATATAAGATTAATATGATATTAGAATGATACATAATTTTATCTAGTGTTTGACAATACTCAATATAAACGTTGGATTATAGTTATTTAATTTAATCGGTTGTTTGGTTAAAAAATTATTTATCGTATTAATATTGAATTAACAAAAATATCCTCAATCAGTGTTTGTTATACTGATGGCAACTTGATTTTATCAGTTGGGGGATGTAATAGTAAATGTGTAGAATGATACATTTAAATTGGATTATAATATCACTTCTCTTGGTGGTATTAAAAGACATTCATAATACAGGTCTATCGTATAAAAAATATACGATAAATATATAATTAGTATAAATTTTTGAAATTAATACAATATCAAATTTGTTTATCAAACAAAGTATTAGACCCGATTAAATAAAAAATAGTATAATTTAATATTTAATTCTCTCATAATACGTCTTACCAAACGAGCCCTTAGAGGATATATTAATAGACACTGACGGTAGGGATCTTAATTGATATACATGTACAAATTTAAGATGATTACGTGTAATATTTCAAAAGTCAGAAAATCTATGGATTCAGTGACAAATTTCAATAAATTTGAGTATATTTTACCCATAAACAATTGGTATTGTTGAGTTGTCATTTGCTACTGGATTATCAAATCTGAGCAGACGGCCCATAAGAAGCAAGGCCTAGGTGGACCTGAGACATCGGTCCAAGCTAGGTTTAGCCCTTTAGCATCCACCCATTTGGCATGGGGCAGACCGACTTCTTGCTGAGAGGTCTCCTCACAATGTCCCATGAACCTGATGGAGTTACCACCTGTATTACCCAATATCAAAAGCCCAATGATGACAAAGAAAATAAATATTACGAACGTGAAGTCTCAAGTAAATGTTTCCATTCTCTCTTTGTATGACTCGTCTTGACAAATTATCTATTATTATGTATTTAAATGCGACTTATTAATAGTAAATAAATGATACACCAAAAAGAGAATTTTTTTAAAAAAAATATATTATAGAGTATTTAGATCTTTCTGGACTCTCCCCCCTGGAACCACGGGAGACACCAAATGTCACACCCTTCCCTTAACAATTTATTGGCCATTGAGGTGTTCTCCTAGCCCATGTACTCATTGTACTCCATCCAAAGAAAATTTCGTAATCATACATAACAATAATTTATAATAGTCGATCTTTGTTGATCGTCACCATTGATAATCATAATAAAAAAATAAAATGAAATAATAACAAATTTTTACAAGTAGCACATTTTTATTTGAAGAAAAAGAAGGGTCGAACCTACCATTGGCATCACAAGCAAAGCTTTCAATGAGATGGTACACATATATAACAATTATGAACTTAATATTCAACTTACAGTGGTTAGTAGCTAAGCTTGAAGGAATAGTCGACGCAATTTTAAATATCCAATAACAAAAGAAAAGAATTGTGTCACTTGTTTTTACCAGCTCTTGTTACTAAAGGTTAGAACGCTTGGCTGTTCCACTGGTAGTATAAAGCACAAGCATACAAGCAGTTGGCAAACTGTCTCGTCTCGCATTATTTTGCTAAGGGTCCAAATCTGACCTAACATATATTAAACCAGGGGTGGCCCAATAATATTTGAGGCTTAAAGTAACGATGATTAATGATATTTTTATATTTTTTAATAATAATTTAATTTTTTAATTTAAAATCTATTATTTTTATTTTTTGATGAGATTCAAAATTGCAAAAAAAAAAAATTATTTAAATTTTGCTAATATATTTTTTTAATTAATAATATGACTTTTGATCATAAATATTTATAGGGATAAAATTAAATTCTTCTTTAATATTTTTATGTTCTTTTTATTTGTTTTAAATGTTCTTTTTTGAAACTGTGGAATTAAATGATTGATTTTATTATAAATAAATTTATTGTTATCTTTCTTTTTGGATTATTTTAATATTTTTGAATTTTATTTATTTATCCATGCAACTTTAACCTAAATTTATGTTATATTTTATTTGCTAAAAATAAGAACTTTATAAAAATATTTTTTTTAATGAGAATGAAAGGTTTAATTGGTGTTTTGCGTTCAAATGAGAAAAAAAATAACAACTTTAAGAAAAGTAAACAATGTGTTTGGTTTGATTTTTTTTTTTTCTCTCCTTTAATAAATGTGATTGTGTGAGGTTTAAACTTTTGGGCCCAAATTTTTTATTTTTTTGTTGGTTTACTCTTTCAAAAATTATTTTTTAAAGCAATATTGTAATAAATTTTATTTTTTAACTTATATTATATTATTGATCTTAAAATTTGGGGTCTTTTTGGTATATGGGGCCTAAAACCCCTGTTTTTATTTTTATATTATAAAGTCGACCCTATATTAAACACGTTTACCTTGTGTACTAGTTTGTTCAAATTTACGTTGATTATTCTTTTAAGTTCATCGATTAGTCATCGTGATTTAAGCTAATGTCTTTTTACTTAGTTATAAAGTATTAGAAACAGTTGGAACGCCAAACCTAACCCTTCCGGTTACGGGAATAATTGTCCAGACCATGTTGAACTATGTAATCATGAAAGTAGACACTTTAAAAAATAATCCAAAAGAACTAACAAGGCTGGATCTCATCAAAGAAAACCAACTTGAAACTCGTTACCCAGTTGTAACCCACTTGTTGATATGTATTGGTCGTTGGGAAATAAAAATAACGATAAAAACAACGCACAATACATAATATCTGTCTTCACCGACTAAAAAACTATGTCTTTTATGAGAAAAAACTGTATTAGTGTATTGTTTATTACAAATTTATACTTAATTTTATTTATAGAGATAAAATATTGTCATTCAAATATAATTTTAATCTCTATGCCGAGAGATATGACTTCTGTGACCCCAAAATGTATATTAAATGGTAATAAGAGTAAAATTTTAAATTCAGATGTTTTGAATTTGAAACATAATAATTTTTTGAGCGTAAATTTTAAGGGATTTATCTTTTATAAATATATTAATTTTAATATGAATGATTTATTTTAACTAAATCGAGAAAAAAATTAATTAATATATGTATAAATTACCTTGAACATTTTAATCATTAAAAATAAATAAATAAATAACTTCAATGAGCAAAAAGTTGATTCTTTAGCTATTTTTCTACTTATTTTAGTGGCTAGTGGTTGATTTGTACTTTCTCTCCTTTTCTTATGTTGAAAGTGAAATGAAATATACCACGAGAACCACGACGACATTCATGACTCTATCTCGTTCCTTCATAGTCAACATTCAATTAATTCGTTACATTCTTTTCAAAACTCTTAGCTGGATACGAAGACTTCTAAGTCTCCCTGCTTGTCCACTTGTATAAGGAATTGTCGGTAGACTGAAACTCATTTTCATCCTGCTTAATTTGTAATATATATGTAACAAATAAAATACAAATTGTTATACATATTATTTTTATAAGTTTTTATATTTGATTTATTTATTATATAACTAATTTTTATCCTTCTTGTAAATTTATTTGTGAGATTTTATGATTTTTTTTTAAATTTTTTTCTAAAAATTATATAAATAAATTGTTATGAACGGAAAAGTAGTAGAGATAGGAATTAAAATTTATCCATAGAGGGGGGACCATGATTAAAAATTTTTCCTAATGAGAGGAGCGAAAACAAACAAATATTTTTTAAACGGGTACGAAAATAAAGATTATTCGGTCACATAGATCATTAGCATGTCTATCAAACATCTCGATAAATTAGTAAGATTACCTCAAGAAAGATTCATAAGTTAAGTAAGTTGCGGTAATTATTTTTATTATTACTATTTTGGGACAAAAAAATTATTACTTTTATGAATAATTTATCACTGTTATAAATATTTTTATCACTATTATTAATAACAGTAATGAAAATAATTATGAATATAATAAATATGGGTATAATACTAAATTTATTTTTTCGTTAACGCAAAAAATTCCTAAAAATTAGATTACGTGTCACCTTAATCAAGTAGAAACCAACCCATTATTAGGTAGGATTGGGTGGCCCACTTGTGCATCCAGCGAGAATATGGTGGGCCCACACCCACCATTTGGGCCAAATCCCAAAACCACATAAACAAAAGCTTTTTCTTGGAACTCGAGAAACAAGTGGGTTGTAGCTGGCAGCCGGTGACGTGGCAAAACTTAGAGAAGAGTTTCAGTTACGGCCCCGCCCGTTAAAGTCATTAACAAAAATTAGGTTTGTCGGATATGACATGAATAAACGGCACAAATTGGTATAAACTAAATAAATTTGGATGAAATTTTAATGAGTTTGATTGAAAAATAGATTGATTTGTTAAATATATTTAATAAATGGGTCGTGTTCGGGTGTAATTGTATAAACAAATAATATAAACATTTAAATAAATAATATAATTGTACAGTAATTATAATTTTTTAAGAAAAAATTAAATTTTTATTTTTGATTTTATTTCAATAAATAATACAATAAAACATGAATTTTGATTATAAAATTTAAAATATTTTATATTTTATACTTGATTGTAATATTTTTAATTTAAGTATAATATTTTAAATTTAAAAGATTTAAATGTAATATACCCACAAACTTCAAGAAATGTAAGTGTAATTTATTAACGAATTATTTACAACAGGAGTCTAAATATTATGCACGCACAAATCTGAGGGGATCTGTGTGTAATATTTAAAATGTCAAGATGTATGAGTGATTAAGTGACAAATCTCAGAGGATCTGCTCTAAAATTAATATAATAATAATTTAATAATTATTCTAAAAAATTAGGTAACTTTTTTTTTATTGACAACCACATAAAACTAATATTTTAAAATTTAGTCCGGCAGGTCAACCAGTGAACCGATCTCTTAACCGAGCCGGTTCTATTAAAAAAATGTTTATGTAACGAATCCGAAAAAAACCTGTTAAAGCGGTTAAAAGTCAGTAAACCCGTGAGAACCAAACGTGTTTACCAAACCGGGCGCTTTAATTTCATTTATATAAATTTGAGGTTTTTTTTTCATCTTTTGGGCATTTTATGTTTTTTTTCCTTTTTGCCCTAAATCGTTCCAGACCAGTGACCACAGCCTCCACTCTAGCACCAGCAGCGATCAACCTCCACTCCAGCACCAGCAACGATCAGCCTCCACCACCAAACGACTGATGATTAGCAACGATCAGCCTCTACAACCAATGACTGATCAGCCTACACCACCAACCACTGACCAGCCTCTAGTCCGGTGAATTTCCCTCTCTCTCTCCTCCCTTTTTTCTCTGTCTCTTTTGGCCTTTTGGTGGTGGTGATACTTACTCCATCAGAGCCATTGCTGTCATGAAGGCTTATTATATAACCAAAGCTTGAATTTCTTTTGTGACCTTCTTATTGTCCTAACCTCTCAGGTAAATCATTCAAGACTTCTTTCATACACATATATATTGATTTATATTGTGGGTTTTCCGTTTCTATCAATTTTTTGTTTAACAAATTAGAACTAAGAAAGGCGAAGAATGAAGAAGATAAAGAATGGCTTTTCAATAGAGGTATTTTTCTCTTAATTGTACAAGTTGTATTAAAAATTTAATACATTGAAATTAGATACATATTCGATGATTTTTCTTTATTTAATTTTATATGTTTGATGTTATTTTTATAATTATTGTAATTTTTAATCTATTTATTATTATTTATTATTTATTTATTATATTATCGGTCCGATTAGTGATCCAACGGTTAAATTAGTGATTCATTGACCCGATTTATTCACCGAATTGACGTCTGAACCGGATTTTAAAACTATGCATAAAACATATATATATTATTTTTAGTGACAATCACATAACTTTTTTTTAATTTAGTGGTAGCCATAAAAATATAATAATAAATTAAAATTAATTGAGTTAAACGAGTTGTATCGTGTTATCTATTTATTAAACGGTTCGTATTTATGTTGAGATTTTTCATATAATTATTAAACGAATCATGTATGAATTTACATGTTTTTTGCACATCACCTATTTAATCCGATACGTTTTTTTGCGCGTCACCTATTTAATCCGATACATAATCGTTTAATTCGATACGATTGATAATCCTAAAAGCAGACAATGAATTTGTTGGGCTCACCTGTTAAACTTGTGACGTGGCTCTATAGAAAGGGTGATTGGGCTTTAACACGTCGTACGTTTAGTATCCCTAGTGTGTCCACATGTCATTCATGGGTCCTACACAACATAAAATATTCTATTATTTAAAGATTCGGCGCCAGTTTGCTAGTGGACCACCAATAATTCAAGATAGCGAAAGAGAGAAATCGAATTGATATTTTTCACGTGATAAAGTTAGAGTCTCTACAAAAAAAATTTATTGATTTTTAATTTTATAACTATTATCCTAAAAATAATAAAATCTTAAAAGTACCTTTTTTAATATTGCAACTATTAATCAAAAAAATAATTAAATGTAATGAAAAATAATAAAATACAAAAAAATTTAAACATGTCATATTTTTTAGTTAAAAAATAATGGATGTTATTGTTGGACCTTTTTTTTTTTTTTTTTTTTAATAATTTTCAATAATTAGACTATCGAAAAAATTAAAGAGAGAAACACACGTGTCTAATGTTAATATACTCAAAGCGATAAGTAATATAAAATGATGGATAAAAGGATTTGAATTGTTTATTTATTGTTGGGGTAAAATGTGGGCAAAATGTGTTCCTATGATAGCTGGAGTAAATAAATATTCTTGCACCAACTGCAATGTCTATTTTAAACAGATAGTTTCTAAGAACAAGTAATTGTGGTATTTACAAATTACAACAAAAGTACTCGAGGAATCGAAATTGCCTTGTAAGTTGCACACAATTGCCTCTATACAAGAGTTAACGTTGTATGTGTGCTTGGTAATCGTAAAGAAGAATTATGAACTCGATATAAAATTAACAGATTAAATACAGGCTTAATGAGTTCAAATGTGAATATGTAAGACTTATGAAATAAACGAATTTTGAATATAAAATCCCAAAAAATTAGGTTAATGCCTTAGATGGTCAGAGCAAAAAAGTCTCGCGCCTCCCAAAACATAAAATTCGTCATATGTTGGTACTCGATAGTAACTAATGAATTACTGTTTGTGGTACCAAATGTGGGATGTTGAACAGTTTAGATGTGGGTTTTGAATTTGGTTGTTATTTAATGTTTATTTTTTTCATTTAATTTTTTGTTCAGCCATGGTTTTATTGTTATTATAACAAACATGCCAAACAAGTATAATAGGTGGTGACTTTGGTGATTTCTGTGTGGAGCCAAAACACCATAACTAATTCTTTTTATTTAGTGGGTGGCACGGGTCGTGTTAATAAACAAGTTGTGTGCAGAGTTTGATAGTTAAACCTATTTATATAAACATATGGTTGTATTAGTAGAGTATATCTTGACACAAACTTGTTTCACTTGACATGAATTTGTTTCAGTTAACACATTTGTCGAGGTATATGATAATTATGTCTACTTACAACTGTTTGTGCTATTTTTGTATGATGGGTGTGCCCGACCATGTTAGCTTTTGAGTTCTCCTTAATTTTGTCATGTGTTGCTTTGTGGTTATTAAATGTGTCTAGATAGGCTTATATATACTTATGCTCTATTCGATAAAAATGATAAAAAGTAAGAGATAGAAATTAAAAGGGATACATGGTTAGCGTTTGATAATGTATTAATTTGGTGGTTGATAAAGATTAATTTCGTCGGGTAAAGTGTTAAATATATTAATTTACCTAATGTTTTATTTGATCCTACTTATGGAACGTTTATTTTCATTTTGCAGGTAAATAAGATAGAATCGGAGGTGTAATCATGAATTAAAGGGCAAGAGTCGAGAGTCAGGGAAATAGGAGGTTGTTGTTTAGCGCGAGTAGACGGAGGCTGCATTTGAGTTCGGACGGGTGTCCAGAATAGGCGTGTGGGGGTATGGAGATTTGGAGGATTGGGAAGCATACTGTTTATTGGGTCCGGACGGGTACAAGACTCGCGTCCTGACACATTTTATTCTTGGCCATCACTCTGATCATGGCATTGTAACTTGGTGAGAGTTGTTTTTCCTCGATGTATATATAGGAAGATAGTTACTAGTTTTAGGGTTGTTGATTATTTTTTATTTTTTACCGTAGTTGTAATTATCTCGGGCTAAAGCTTTTAATAAAATATGATATTATTATTAATTCAAGATTTTAACTGCTTGTGTTATTCTGTTAATTCAATATTTTTTTTTTAGTGAAATTTTTACTTTGTAAAAGTTCTTAATTCGTTATATTATGTACACCGAATTACTTGAATTTTTCTGCGAGTCAAATAACTGAGTTTTTCACACTTGAGTTAATTAACATAATTTTCACAAGATAATCAGAGGATTATGTGGATAGCTCTGGAATTAATTTGCTAAAAAGTTTGATTCAATATAGAACTCTGAGTACGGTGAATGTTTGCGATTTGCAGATGAATTCTTGGGCTTATTCAAATATAATTTTGGTTATAACTATTGGTGTTTTCATATCCTTATTGCTAAATATTTGGATTATGATCACTTCTCAATTGATTCTCAATTGAATTAGAAAATTAAATTTTTAATAGTTGTCGTATGAATTTGAAAAGGTATCTCCGACATTTTAATATTCTAATTATTGTTTTAATCAATTTATCGTTGTTTGATAAGTGGAATCTTTTTTCAAGAGAATTTTTTACACAATTTTATTTTATTGGATTTGATATTTGTTTCTTGTTTTCACAATCCCCTTAGGGTTCGACTTTGAATTTTTGAGAATATATTATTTCGCACAATCTAAACTTGAATATATAATATCGAAGTTGTGGCAACATACAATTTCTATTCTCTAAAAAAGAAAAATAAGAATGATATAATTTTTTTCCTTTATATTTAATAGGATGGATAGAAAATTAAAATGTTTAATTTTTTTAATGGTTGGTAAGATGAAAAAAATAATTTTTTAAAATTTAAAATTTAAAATTTTAATTATTTTTTTAAAAGTGTAAAATATATATTTTATCATTGTATTTATATATGAAATTAATATAGAGATTAATTTTGGTAAGTTGGAAGGAAAGATAATTTATCTACTTTTTTATCATTTTTATTTTCCTTACTTACATGATATTTTATTAATCTCTCAAAATTTTTTATTTTTTTAACTTTTTATTCTTTAATTTTTTTATCATACCAAACGAAATATTAAATTAATAAAATTATTTGTAATGATATTTAATTAACAACTAAAACTCTATCTCCCGAGTTATCCTCACAGATTGTAAATGAATGCTATAGACTTAAATTATAATGATAGAATGTTTCCATCTGATTATTAATTGTGAGAAGTTTTTTGTCAATCATACACACAAAAAAAAAGAAGCATAATTAATTACTGGAGAAATCAAAAAAATAATTCAATTTTTTTATATTTTGCTATAAATCTAATTATATGCTCTCCAGCCTGGCCTGGTCAAAGTCCAACCGTACACTTCTAGTTCCCTCTAGCCATATTAACTTCCAAAATGGTCGGAGATTTGAATTTCAGTTTTCTATAGTTTGATTAATTACACTCTCACCCCTTTAATCATAATCTCGATTTTACATTCATTGCCCATCAAATTAGTGGATTATGATTTTTGGATTCACGCTTTCAGAAAAAAGACGTCCATTATTTTTTGAGAAAAATTATTAATTTTTAGAGGCAAAACGTACATACTTTGTCAAAAAATTATAATATTTTTTTATTAAATTTAATGATTAGCAGTGTGATGGTGTAATGTGATTAAAAATATAGTTAAAGAGATAATATTACAATGTCATGGTTGAAGGGAAAAATAAAGTGTAATTTGTTCAAAGTTAATTGTCTAAGTAGAAATACGGGATATTTTAAACAACATTGCTATTTTAAAAGTGTGATTTATATAGGTGTCCATTCTCAACTCCCATTAGCTGACACGTGTCCATTTTTCCAGCTATGTAATCGTAACTGCTACTTCTCTATAATAACCGGTCACCCCTACCTGCCCAGCCGGTCATCCCTATCCTCTTCTCCCACCCACCCATATAAAATGGCTCTCCTCTCACTACTACTCAGTATTGCCTCTCAGGGAAGGGTGGGGTTACGCCTCTCCATCATCACGTTCAAAGCACCCAACACTAAATTTCGTAGGCTTTTTTTTTTTTTTTTCCTTTATTGGGGTGTTATTCATTTTGGGGGAGGGGTCTGAAACAATGGCGACGGTGATACAGAGGAAAGATACAGAACGGATCAAAGGTCCATGGAGCCTAGAAGAAGATGAACTGTTGCAGGGGGTGGTACATACGCATGGCCCGAGAAATTGGTCTCTGATCAGTAAATCGATTCCAGGAAGATCCGGGAAGTCTTGCAGGCTCAGATGGTGCAACCAGCTCTCGCCACAGGTGGAGCACCGATCATTCACACCGGCAGAAGACGAAGCGATCATCCGGGCCCACGAAAAGTTCGGCAACAAATGGGCCACCATAGCCCGACTGCTCCCTGGTCGGACTGATAACGCCATCAAGAACCACTGGAATTCTACCCTTAAGCGAAAGTGCTCTTCCATGTCCGAAGATTTTTCTTTGATCGACGGTCAAACTCTTCATCAGCCTTTGAAGAGATCGGCTAGCATTGGGTCTGGTTCGCATCTGAACCCAAGTAGCCCGTCAGGATCCGACTTGAGCGATTCGAGTCTTCCTTTAACGCATGTCTATAGACCTGTTGCGAGAACCGACCGGGTTATAGCTCCTCCTGTTCAGCCGATTCAAACGGCGTCGTCGGGTTCCGAAACGCCAATATATCTGAGTCTCTCGTTGCCGGGATCCGACTCGACTGAGGGATCTACCAAAATTTGCTCGAACTATGTCACTCACCCGACCCAGGTGATTAAAATACAGCCACATAAACCGGCTATCCAGGTGGCTCCGGCACCTTCTCTTCCACCCCTGCCTGAGAGCAGTCCAAACCTTAGCTTTGTGTCAAAGTTTGTTGCGCCACCGCCACCGTTATTAACCTCTGAAAAACAGTTCTTTAGCCCTGAATTCTTGGCTTCTATGGAAGAGATGATAAAGAAAGAAGTGAGGAACTACATGTCTGGGATTGAACAGAATGGGTTGTGTATGTAGAGTGTAGACTGAAGGTATAAGGAATGGTGTGGTGAAGCGCATTGGCCTTGGTAATTAAGCTCGAGTAGTGAAATTTATGAAAATATGAGTCAATTATGAAGAATTAGGTTGAGAGGAGAGAGAAGGAAAAATGACCTTGTTCTTTTCCTTAAATTTTCCATCTTTGCTACTTTTATACCAAATTAATTTTGGGTAGTGTACAGATGAGAGACAGAGGGAGGGGAGAGTTGAAGTTGTGAGAAACAGTTTCATGGTGAGTAGAAAATGTACAACAGTGGGAGTTGTCGTGTCTTCCACACATTCACTGCTTGCTTAGATATTTAAACCAGGAGATAAAAAGAGTACAGTATCCGAATGTGAATATTTTTGTTTGACAAAGTGATAAGCTTTGGGTTGTAGTGATGGGTACTAACTTGCTTTGTGCAGAAAAAACTTCAGGACTTAAAAGCACTTTTTTATTTATTTATTTATTGAATCTGCTTTTGGCAAGGTACCACTCGTGCTGCCTTAATTTAGATGAGAAATTTTACGTTGTCCAAATTAAATTTTTTTATTTTAAATGAATGTGTCCGATACATTGAATGAAAATGTTGATTCTTTGATATCTACAATGCTCTAACTTAAACATTAGGCGAGATTAAAAAAAATTAAGTTGAACTTTAAGATCTCACAATTTTTGGAAAGAGGTTCTATAAATTTTAAAATAATATTACTCGTACTTAATCTAAGAATTAAACACATTGAATAATTAGCAAATTTTGTTTAAAGTTAGCACTTATTGTTAATTCAATAATAAAATATATTGAGTATTTAAAAGATATCTCAAAATTTAAATTATATATCATTGTTTAAAATTTTATTTTAAGACCCCAACTTTCTTTTTCAATTTGGGGGCTCAAGGCTCGGGCTTAATGGGCTGTAGGTTGGGTATGTAGTATCAATAATGTTATTTCAACCTAATATATTGATTTAATTATTTTCTGTTAGTGAATTGATAGTGAATTACATTATTAGTTAGGACCCGATAATAGTTCAATACATATAATGTATTAGATCAACAAATTAAATGCAATTAAAAGTTTTCGGAGCTAAATCCCTATCAACTAATTTTGTTGCTGTTTCATATTAGAATAGCGCATCATAGTAAGAAATGTCTATTCTGATATCGCATTTGAAGATACATGTGGTAGGTTTAGCCCAAAGTGGCCCAATTGCCTAGGTGCTTCAGCCCAAGCTTTTGCCTCTGGTTGTTGGAGTAAAGGTGATTATGACTAGATTGGGCTTGTTTGATTAGCCTAAGCGCCAATTGTCATGGGCCTCCATAAACCTTTCAAAAGTCTAAATTAGGGGTGTCAATCGTGTCAGGTTAAACAGTTACGTGTCGGCTTAAACGAGTGATGGGTGAAAAATGTATAAATTCATACACGACGCGTTTAATAAAAGGATAAAAAATCTCAACACGAACACGACCCGTTTAATAAACAGGTAACACAACACGACTCGTTTAACTCGTTTAATTTTAAAAAAATTATATCAACAAATTTTAATATTCCATTTTTTTTATTACTAATTGCACTTACCTCAAAAAAGAGGAATTTTAAATTAAACCTCATAAAAATAAGACTTGAACGCTTTAAAAAAAAAAGAAGCAAGAGACTATTGCCTTTTATAGGCAACTCACCCTCCCCATCTCCCCTCATTTTTTAAAGTGGGACAAAAACAAAAAACATCGGTTTGTCTTTGTCTTTCAAGTGCTCAACAACTCCTCTCCTTTGTCTTTGAAAAATAAGACTTAAAGATTTTAAAAATAAAAGCAAGAGGTCATTGTCTTTTATAGGCAACTTAATTATCCCCATCTTCTCTCATTTTCTAATGTAAGATAAAAACAAAAGACATTAGTTTGTCTTTGAAGTGATTTCTAACTCTTCTCCTTTGTCCTTAAACTATTACTTTATTTTTTATTGATTTCTTTACTTCTTTTTTCTTGCTAATTTTTTAAAATAATTATTAATTTTATTTAAACGGGTAAACGTGTGATAAATAGTTTGACAGATCTCACCCAAACACGACCCGTTTATTAAACGTGTTTGACGTGTCAACCTGTTTATCACCCAAATTCGTTAAGATCTCATTCAAATCCTTTTAATTCGTGTCGATTTGTGTCGATAAATCGTATCGTGTCGAATTTTGACAGCCCAAGTCTAAAACCATGAAAAACTATTAAGAAGAAAACTCAGGAGGCGCCAATGACTCTCTCAATCGTTGGCCACTCCATTCTGGAACCCATCATTGTTGATATGTTTTTGCCTTGTTCAGTGTTTCTCTCTCCTACATTCAGTGACAGTAATTCTTCTCTGTTCGGTTATGTCTTCGCACACTTTGAACAAAGTGACGGCTTTCTTGTCTCTGAGAGTAAGTTCTCTTTTTATGCAATGCATTTGTCCCAACTCCATGGATTTGGAATTTTAGGGAATGGCATTGATTATTAAAATCTATCGAACTATGTTGAATTGGACAAAAACTGGGAATTTTTCCTCTTTTGGGTTTGCAAACTTAGAGAATTATCTATACTTCTACACAAAATTTATCTTTTTGCACGTAAGTTGAGTATCCTCCTTTAAATTTAGGTTTTTAAAATTTGGGTTAGTTCTTGTTTAAATTTGAATTTATTTTTTTTTAAAAGTGCTTTATACCAAACCTAATTTTTACTTAAATTTTAATAAATGTTTGAGTTTTCACGGGAGATGATGCTTTCATCTAATGTAAGCCACGTGTAATTTCATGGGGCCACCGATTTATACCCACCAGAAACCTTTCAAGTCAAACACAAGGAAACTCGCTGGAAGATGCCACTCACATTGCACTTCTTGCCATTCACACCTTCCTTGTTCTGACGGGTTTGAAATTGCTTGAGCTTCTCCACAGGTTTGTGTTCAACCGATCAAAGGCCTTTCACGTTGACCGTTCAAATTGACTTCATATACCTTAAATTAATATTTGCAAACACATACTTTCCTTGATCTTTAAATCTCTTACAGAGTCCAGGGACATTTGATTAGCTATCCTGTAATTCTCATGGAAGCCTTACTTTTTTACCTTGTGTTTTTTCTGCTTCTAGCTTCCTCTTCGTCAAAACCACCAAGCACTCTGAGAATAGGCTCGTCTCTCTCTGTGGAGACACCAAATGATGTTTTGATTTCATCGAACGGTGTTTTCACAGCGGGGTTTCACCCAATTGGCGAGAATGCCTTTGTCTTCGCCGTATGGTTCACCAAATCATATGGTCCTACCGTTGTTTGGATGGCAAACCGTGATCAACCGGTGAATGGACAAGGCTCAAAGCTTTCACTTTTGAAAGACGGCAATCTTATCTTATCCGACGCAGGTCGAACCACAATTTGGACAACAAGCACCAATTCAGCTCAGCAACTACATCTTCATGACATAGGTAACCTTGTTCTTAGTGCTTACCAGGATGATACAGTTCTTTGGCAAAGCTTTGATTCTCCGACAAATACCCTTCTTCCTCAGCAGCAGCTCACTAGATACACAACCCTTATCTCATCAAGAAGCCATACCAACCATTCATCTGGTTTCTATAAACTCTTCTTTGACAACGATAACATGCTTTGTCTTCTCTATGACGGTCCTGAGGTTTCCAGCATTTACTGGCCGGACCCGTGGCTCTTAAGTTGGGAAACTGGCAGGACTACTTATAATAGCAGTAAAATTGCGGTACTTGATTCTTCAGGATACTTTAGATCCTCTGATAGCTTAGAGTTCTCTTCTGCTGATTTCGGTTTGGGTTATCAGAGAAGATTAACACTTGATTTTGATGGTAACCTTCGGTTATATAGCCTAAACGACATGACAGGAAATTGGACTGTCACATGGCAAGCCATGTCTGATCCATGCCGGGTTCATGGAGTATGTGGACCAAACGGTATATGCAGCTATGGTTCCGGAGCCGGTAGGGGATGCTCTTGTGTGCCTGGATATAAGGTCAAGAATCCCAGGGACTGGTTTGATGGATGTGAATTGGAATTCGATTTTTCGGGTGAAGACCATTCGACCACTTTTGATTCAGTGAGTGAAGTAGAATTATTTGGCTACGAGTACAATGTCTTCAGAAATTCCTCCTTAGAGAATTGTAAAGCATTATGTCTGCAGTCCTCCACTTGCAAGGGGTTCCTGATAAAATTTGAAGATGGTACTTATAACTGCTATGCTAAAACGTTCTTGCTTAATGGAAAACATTCCCCAAATTTATTAGGGACCCTGTATGTCAAACTAAATGTCTCCAGGAATCAATTTTTCTTCTCAAGTGAGGCTGTTAAAGAAATCAGCCTGAATTGCTCAGGCCAATGGACTGTACAGTTGGATAGAACCTATCAAAGAAACAATGAAAACAAGTTTCTGAACTACATGGTTTGGTTCGCCTGTGCAGTAGCAGTCGTAGAAACTCTCTGTATAGCCTTGGTGTGGTGTTTACTGTATAGGACGCAGAAAGATTCTGGTGCAGCCACACAAGGGTATGTTCTAGCTACAAACACATACATAAAATTCACATATGCGGAGCTTAAAAAGGCAACACAAGGTTTCAGTGAAGAGATTGGAAGAGGAGGTGCTGGTGTTGTGTATAAAGGGGTATTGTCTGATAATCGAATTGCAGCAATCAAGCGGCTCAGTGAAGCTAACAAAGGCGAAGCTGAATTTCTAGCAGAGGTAAGCAGCATTGGAGGGCTTCACCACATGAATCTAATAGAGATGTGGGGATATTGTGCAGAGGGAAAGCACAGGCTTTTGGTGTATGAGTATATGGAGAATGGTTCCTTAGCAGAAAACCTGAACTCAACACTTAGTTGGGAGAGAAGATTCAAAATTGCTATGGGTACTGCAAAAGGCCTTGCCTATTTACATGAAGAGTGCTTGGAGTGGGTTCTACATTGTGATGTAAAACCTCAGAACATACTCTTGGATTCTCTTTACCACCCAAAGGTGGCAGATTTTGGCCTGTCCAAAGTACTGAACAGAGGCGGTGGTTACAATGCAAGCTTCTCGAAAATGAGGGGAACCCGAGGTTACATGGCTCCTGAGTGGGTTTTCAATCTCCCTATCACCTCTAAAGTTGATGTTTATAGCTATGGCATTGTCGTGTTGGAGATGATATCTGGAAGGAGTCCAACTGGTGTGCATGCTGCTGATGATGAGGGACAGAATGAGCCTGGAAGGGTGGTAACTTGGGTGAGGAACATGATGCATGGAGCTGCTGCAATGAACTCGTGGATTCAAAATGTAGTAGACCCTAGGATGGGTGGTGAGTATGACATTGGCAAGATGGAAACTCTGCTTAGAGTGGCTTTGCAATGTGTGGAGGAAGACGGAGATGCAAGGCCAACCATGAAGCAGGTGGTGGAGATGCTTCTATGTCATGAGAATCTCTAATCATCTGCTAAGAGACTTGTTTCAACCAGAATCACACTTGCTTGGTCAGCTCCTCGTAAGTCCACTGATCCTAACGGTAGACAAAATATTTCTGGCCACATAATGTCAGTGGAAAAATTGCTATGAATAAAAAAAAGAAGTAAAAATAGGGCTAATTTTAATGTTCTAAACTCTTTCTGTGCAACCTCCCTCCCTGTTTTTCCCCCTTTCTGAGGTTACTTGGTTTGCCAGTTACTCAATGAATCAAAGTGATATATAGCGCTTAGTGAGGGCGAAACTTGATCCCTTGTCTCTTCTGCTAACACCCAACAAAAGGAAACACTCAGCTAATTTTAACTATGAAATTGGTTTACAGAAGGAAAAAACGTTTCGTTTTATTGCACATGTAACAGAGGAAGATAATTATTTGAATGAAAGCAGTTCCATAGCCTTCCAAAAACATTAGCCTTCCTTAGTCCCTAAGATTCCCATATAACTGACTCAAGTGTTGAAGAATATTATCGCGGGCGCTGTTGACCTTTACAGCATCCTACTCTGTTCATCTTGCAGTTCCATATATCATGATCCGACCTTTCTAACAGTTTTCTGCTTCCACATGAATCAAATGCAAGAAAGGTTGGACTCTAACAGATCCCAAAACTTCACTACCTTGGGTGGCAATATTGTCTCTCCCTGGTACAGATGAGCTGTCTGTCCTGACCGTCATTTTCATGGCATAGAGGCTCCTCTATTAGAATATAGTTAGTTTTCTGATACGAGGCTGCTTCGTTCAATTGATGGGGCTGAATTGAAATTTTTATAACTTATGTAAAAACATTACAAAAATATTTCCTCACAAATTGATATCTCAATCCCATTTTGAAAACTCTGTGACCAACAGAAAGGCACATAACATAAGAAAGCAGACAAATTCGAACTTATAGGTTCACTATTAAGGTAAAAACTCTGGAAAACATGACAATGTTGGACTGAATAAGGTTATTAAAAAGGAACAACGATAGAAGGTAAAGCTCGACAAGTAATTTCTTAAATCTACAGCATTGACACAGTTGGTTTCTCCGCCATTGCAACAATGGAGTGTCATGTTTAATCATCATTTTCTTGATGAAGCAGCATATCCACCACCTGGCTCATGGTAGGTCTTGCATCTTTGTCTTCCTCTGAACATTGCAAAGCAACTTTAACCAGAATCTCCATCCTGCTCATTTCATATTCGCCATCCATTCCAGGGTCAACAATTTCCTCAATCCATGACGCACTTCCAGCAGCTTCTTGCATCTTCTCCTTCACCCAAGTGATCAACCTCCTCTGCTCCATCCCTCTGTTGTCATTTCTAGCATGGACACCTGCTGGGCTCCTTCCGGTTACCATCTCCAACACGACAATCCCATAGCTATAAACATCAACTTTGGAGGTTATTGGGAGGTTGAAAATCCATTCAGGAGCCATGTAACCTCTAGTCCCTCTTATCCTTTAGAAATTTGAATTGTCAATGCCACCTCTTCTCAGTAGCTTTGACAAGCCAAAGTCTGCAACCTTAAGCTTGTAATTAGAGTCCAAGCGTATGTTCTGAGGTTCCACATCACAGTGTAAGACCCATTCCAACAACTCTTCATGCAAATAAGTCAGACCTTTTGCTGTACCAATTGCAATTTCAAGCCTCTTCTCCCAATCAAGTTTATTGGAATATAGATTTTCTGCCAATGACCCATGATCCATGTGCCTGTAAACCATAAGCCTGTACTTTCCCTCAGCACAGTACCCCCATGTCTCAATCAAGTTCATGTGGCTAAGCCTCCCAATGGTGCTTACTTCTGCTAGGAATTCTCCTTCTCCCTGGTTTGCTTCTTTCAAAACCTTGATTGCTGCGACTCGATTGCCAGACAATATACCCTTATATACAACCCCGCCACCACCTCTACCAATCTCTTCACTGAAATTACGTGACGCCTTCTTAAGCTTGGCATAGGTGAACCTTTTGAATCCAGTTGCAACCTGAAGGTAACCAGAACCTGAGGGTTGGCGAGTATAGTACAGAAAACAGACGATGACAATAAATTCAAACCCTCCAGAGGCACAAGCAAACCACACCATGAACTTCAGCGACTCGTTTCCCTGCTTTTTCTTGTAGGTTCTGCTCAGCTGTGTGCTAAATTGGCTGGAGCAATTCCAGCTGAGGTTTTGAACAGGCTTGTAATGGGCTGCTAGGACAGTTTTAGGTACTCTTAGATACATGGTAGATATAAAATCCAGTGCGCGAAATCCATTAAACAACCAAGTCTTGGGGTAACAAAGATGGAAACCTTTACCACTGTCGAATTTGAATTGGAACCCTTTGCATTGGCAAAAACTTGAAGAATTCCTTCTCACACTGCTCTACGGTGTAATTCTCATAATAGCCCTCATCAAAACCATAAAAGTCCACATGACGAAGTTGAATAAAACCACTTTTCTCCCTGGCACAAGGGAGACTGAAATCTGGTTCACATCCGTAAGACCAGTCTGTATGATTTACCATTTTGTATCCCGGTACGCAAGAACATCTTCTACCGGAATCATGAGCATAAGTGCAGAGACTATTGGCTCCACAAATGCCATGAATGTTGCAGGGTTGAGTGATGGCTTGCCAAGAAACTATCCAACTTCTCTTATCTAGACTTTTTTTTTTGGTAACTCTTATCTAGACTATAAACTCGAAGGTTGCCATCAACATCCATTGTCAATCTTCTAAGAGGGCCTGTACCAAAATCTGATGATAAAAACCCGAATGAGTCGGATGACACGAATTGGCCTGAGGGATAGAGAATTGCAATCTTACTGTTATTGTTAGTGGACCTTCCAGCTTGCCAGCTATTATCCCAAGGGTTAGGCCAAAAAACACTAGAGATTTCAGGACCACTATAAACAAGGCGAAGGATGTTATCATCATCAAAAAAGAGCTGGTAGAAACCAGAGGAGTAATTAGTTTGGCTTCTAGACGAAATAAGCCTTGTGTATTTGGTGAGTGGCTGTTGAGGAAGAAGGGTATCTGTTGGTGACTCAAAGCTCTGCCAATGAATTACACCATCCAAAGTCTGAAGAATGAGATTTCCATCGTTACGAAGCTTCAATTCCTGGAAGAGTTTGAATTGGTGGTGGTCATCCAAACAGACAATTCACCAGCGTCTGTCAAGACAAGATTGCCGGTTTTGAGTAGGGAGAGTTTTGAGCGTCGGCCATTCACCGGTTTGTCTCGGTTGGCCTTCCAAACTATGGTTTTATACCCATTGTGCAATAGCTCAGTGAACCATATTGCAAAACAATATGCATTATCCCCAACAGGGTGAAAACCTGAAGTGAAAATGCCGTTTTCTGAAATCAAAACATCTTCATCTGGTTTTTCAACGGACAGGGATGAGCCTTTTGTTAAACTGTTGTGTGGTGAAGAAGATGAAAATGGCAAAGATAGGAGCAAACATAGAATAAGCAACAATGGTGAAAAACCCATTGTGAAGAGTTCCGGTGAGCACAGACACGATATGTGAATAAGACACAATCAACTCAAAACTATTCAATTTAGGTCTAGTCTCAGTGGTTTCGAAAGATGAACAAATAGACGTGCTAAATCCGTATAATAAATCGATGGATGCAAACCCAACTAAACGCTAAACATACACGACAGACACCAACTACCTATAAGCTTAAATAGGGGTATAAACAGAACATATCTTGAGCAATACGGGCACACTGTCAAGAATTCCTCTAGTGTGAAGGTCATACGCACTACCAAAAAGTGTGTTGACTTCGTAAGTCGGTCCATTATCACCTACAGTACGTAATGCCCCCATAATGTTTGTGACAAATGAGTTACAAAATCCATCATGACGTGTTCCCACTTTCACTCAAACACCTCCAATGACTAGAGCAACCTTGCTAGTCTTTGGTGCTCTGCCATGACTTGCTAACATGTGAGACATCGACTAATAAAATCTCTAATGTGCCTCTTCATACCACTCTAATAGTACTACCGACAAAGATTATGGTACATCTTTGTTCCACCTGGATGTACAGCAAAATGGGAGCAATAGAACTCCCTAAGGATTTTCTTTCTCAGATCCGTACACTGGGAAACCACAACCCTTTTCCTGAACAAAAGACTACCATCTGCATGAATGGCCCAACCTCGTCACTTGTATCCGACTGTACTCGGTACCTGATGGACAATATCTTTGTGTCCTATCCTTGGGACTCAATCACTCTGCTCAGTAGGGAAGGCATAGTCACCAAACTCCCCAAAGTACCCTGAGCTTGACACTTGTAGGACAGCCCAAACTGTCCAAACTAACTTTAGCCTCTCCCAACTCATAACCGCCTTAAACTTTTCCAGGTCTACGGATGCACCCAAAGGCGACACCACGTGTCCTAAAAACTTTACTTAGGTTAGAAAAATTCACACCTGCTAAACTTCGCATAAACTTATGGTCCCTCAAGGTCTGGAGAACAACCCTCAAGTGACCCTTATGTTCGTCCTAAGACTAGGAGTAAATCAGGATGTCATCAACAAACACCACAACAAAGTGATCTTTAGAACACCCCATGCATGAGATCCATGAATGCCACTGGGGTATTTGTCAATCCAAAAGGCATAACTGTGAACTCAAAATGCTCATACTGCATCCTAAATGTCGTCTTAAGGATATTTGTCTCCCTAATCCTCAACTTATGATAACCCGTGCAAAGATCTATCATGGAGTAGACCCGTGCCCCTCTTAGTTAATCAAATAAGTCATCAATTTGTGACAAAGAGTATCTATTCTTGATGGTAACCTGATTCAACTACCGATAATCTATACATAGTCAAAGGGTCTTTTCTTTTTTTTTGGTAAACAACACCAGAGCACCACAAAGTGAGGTACTCGGTCTAATGAAACCTTTGTCCAATAATTCTTATAACTAGACCTTGAGTTCTTGCAACTCTACAAGTGTCATTCTATGCGAAATCATAGAAATAAGGAATGTACCAAGTTTTAACACAACAGTGAAGTCTACATCCCGAGGTGGACGTAATCCCGGTAACTGGTCCAAAAAAATATCTGCATACTCACAAACTACCCAAGGTAGACCTAACTCCTGTCTCACCAAGTCCTCCAAGGTACGGCTTGCTAGCCAACCCATCAATTGCCCTTGCCAATAGAAATCATACACTACTTGGGGAAAAAAATCCTATTTATCCCCCTGATACTTGAAACAAACACCCTCCGGTGTGTAGACAGTGACCCTCTTCCGATCACAATTGATGATAACTCTGTGTGTCATCAACCAATCCATCCCAAGGATGACATCAAACTCTGACATGTCCATGACCCTAAGGTCCACCGTGAGTAGAATCCCTCAGATCACTAGCTCACAACCCCAACATATCTAATCAATACATACCCTAGCTCCTAGGGGATAACTCATGTGCAATGGATCTTCTAAGGTCTCAACCTCTAAGTCCAAATCCCTTACATATGATATACAAATAAATGAATGCAATGCACTAGAGTTAAATAATACTCTTGCCCATAAGCGAGAGAGTAAGAATGTACCATGTATCATCGACTGATCCATCGACTCAGTCTGAGGTGTGATGGCGTAGACTAGCCCCTAGGTCCCCCAAAGTCCCGATTTATAAGCCCTATTTTTGGCCTTGGCCCATGGCCTGACCCATTTGGCCTGATTACAGAGTCCCCACTCGTGAAGTGGTAGGGCCCTGTGTAGCACCTTAGAACTGAAACTTGTTCCCTGGACCATGGTGGGGTAGAGAGCAATGAAATAAGCCTGTAGGTGCCCTACTGATGATTGGGACTAAGATGCCCCATAACTCTGGAATTCCTGCCTCTAAGGATAGTCCTACTTCATGTAGTTCGGCTGGTGGCATATGAAACACATCTTCTGACCTACCTGGTAGGAAGTCCTGAAGTTTCTCCTGCCTTGATAGTTGTTGCCTTGTCCCTAATACCCTTTTGGGGTAGAAGTCTTTTGCTTCTTCCCCGAACTAGAAAAAAAAAAAAAAGATTGGCTCTCCTTCTTCTTTTCCTTAGAACCCATCTCTCAAATTCCCTTTGTGTCTTCTACCTCTCTCTCAATGGTCATATTTGTGTCAACCATTGAGTCCAAATCTTGTAAGTGGTGACCCACAATCGTTTCTTGAATGGACAATTTCAAACCATCCTCGAATCTCCTCACTTCAGACCAGTCTTGCACGGTAGAATTGCTTGCTACTTTGAACGTTTAGAGACAATTTCAAAGGGCAGTCAACATATCTCGAGCAATACGTATTTAACGGTGGACGTATACGAAAATATCTATATAAATCTATGCGGAGATGGAAACATGGATGAACCGACGCTTATCCCGCCCCGCCTCTCTCTATTTTATCCGTTATTATAATTATTATTTTATATGTACATATATACATGTTGTTGTGAATATAATTTTATATATTATTAAATAATTTTTTCTTTTAGAAATTATTTTGTTTTTTGATTTTTTTTCATAGTTTTGTCTTATATAAGTGTAGATTTTCGTGTTTTTATATTTTTTCATGTTAGATTATGTTATGTTACATTATGTTGTGTTGCATGATATTGTGTTAGATTTAAAAGAGAGACTAATTTTAATTATATTATGTTGGATTATGTTGTAGTCAAAATTTTAATTATATTATATTATAAATGACAAACTTTTAATCATATTATGATATTCTATAATTATGTTACATTATTTAGAATGTTAGATTATATTGGCTAGGGCTTCGACGAGTAAGGTGGAGGGGGGTGGGGGCGAAAGTGAAGGCGGGGGACGGGGCGGGGGTGTGGATTACAAATTTACTCGTGGACGGGGATGAAAATAAAAATTATACCTATTAACGGGGGTAGACCGATGATAGATGAAAATTTTTTAAACAGGTATAGAGATGAAGATTACACTCCTCGCTCTCGTTTCGGTCCACCGTCATCCCTAGTCTTGAGTGAGAGACTAGCTACACATTAGTTCAGAGTTTCTTGTAGGACTTTCTGTAACATAAGCAAGCATTGTTCCGCGAATTGAAGTGTGACTCATTGCACATAAGTTGGCCATTGATACCCTAATAGCGAATGATCTATAAAGAAAGAAAAAATAATAAACAAAATATTATAGGGATCTCGATTTTTAAAAAAATGAGTATTTGTTATGATAATTATTGATCTATACGGACTTTCTTATGATGAACTTGATAAAATGTTAATGATAAGTTTCCTGGAGAGCAAATAAATATATCTCAATGTTTTATAAGAAATGAATCATAACCAATAAAAAAAAAAAATTAAAAAATGCTGTGAACGTACGGATTAAACTTAATGCTCTACATTGAGTAGATCTACAAAAGATTAATGTTTGGTTCTATAGCCTACACCACAACCGATATACATCCATTAACAAAATAAAAGAATAACAAATTTGGTATAAGAATTAAAAAATTAGTGGTCCATGATTTGCCTGTGGGAGTCAACATTAATCTAGTGTCCTTCCCCAGGGCTAGGACCAGAGTTCTTAATTTCTCCCACAGGTTGAGCATTGGTAAACTTGTGTCCCTGTCCAACGCCTGGGCCTCCTGTTTTAATTGCTTCAACATTCAATCTATTCAAGATATTCATAATCGGTTCCTCCACAGAGCTATGAGCCACCGTGGGGGCGTTGAGAGGACGAGCTTCGCCGTCGAAAAGCAAAGAACTGAGGAGGAGGAAGAGGAGGACAAGGAAGACAGCGAGAGAGTTTCGAGTTCCGGCCATTTGTATGGTAGTTAAGTCGTCAGAAATGCTTGAAAGTTGAAAGTACTAGTGCTGTAGAGACTCTGTTGCCCAAGCTCAATTCTGTGTTGTACAACGTTAGGTCATGTTGATATGTATTTATAGTGCATGGATATGCGACAAGAAGGTACTTACCAAAAGGCTAGAATAATTTGACTTTGGATTTTTGGGGGAAAGTGCCCCATTCAAACACGTGGGTGGGTTGATAGGCGTTTTTAGGTGCCGCCATGTCTGAGTTCTTTCGAAAGGAACCCACAAGGGACCTTCATTATATATGACCTCTTTACAACCAAACTGCAATGGAAGGAACCTACCGGAAGTATAGTCCAAATTTGAATGTCATATAACTAATAAGAGCAATAACCATACAGAAGTATTGTCTCATAGCCTCATTGCCTGCGTAAGAAAGCACTCAAAAGACAATAAAATAGGGGAACCTGTAGGAAGGCAGCAGCATGCACGCAAGCAATATTGAAACCATTATAAAATGAACTTATAAGGATGACATCCATAGAAATAGAATACGAGTGATTTGATTTAAAAATTTGAATTGATAATGTGACTGTTATATTTATTATTGATTTAACTGTGAGTTTTAATATTTATTAGGACCCCCTATTTGTTCAATAAAAGTGATTTATTATGTCAAAATTTTAAATTTATTTAACATTTTCTATATAATATTAGTGGCACTTGATATACAGTGAAAATGGGTTAAGTCAGACGGCCGGACGGCCAGTGATTGGTGGTGGTCTTACATGGTAGGCAAGATGGAGTAAAGACAAATAAAAAAGCATCGGAATTCTCCTATATTTAAATCAATAATGACAAAGGGAACAAATCATAGAAAACTTTGTAAAAGGTGTTGCAGCGTACATAGCCACTTGTCTCCTATTTTTTGAGGCTACTTTTATATAGACCGGTGCCTAATGGTTAATGGCGGAAGTCTACTGGGTGGAATATTCATCTCTTATTGACCAACCTGTTAATATATAAATTTTCAGTACTACAAGAAAGAAACAAGATCTTTAGTGACGCCGAAAGTCATCATGAATATATACTGTTAATTGAAAGATACAAGCTTAAGGAGATTGGTGGTCATGTGTATTTGTCGAATATTGTACACTTCATTAACCATAATGTTACTTTACATTTGCCACAGACATGAACTTCTAGCTATGACGAATCTAAAAAACTTAAAAACTACCAATCCCCTTACCCCATTTTCACAAAACCTTTGCCATGTTATTAGTATATCACAAAACAAAAGTACTAATGTCCCAAGGCCAAATCTAAAAAGCCATGGTTTTTTAAGGATGGCAAACAAATAAATTGTTATTAATGACTTGTATTTCAAGTCTATTTGAATTTTTTATATGGAGGATTTCTCATGCGGCCAATTGAGAATAGGAGGGTTGTATCTCGCGCATATTCTACATTATAACCTGCAATTGATTCAACTTCCGCTTCTGGAAGATCAAACGGAGCTCGATTGGTTGAATTTCCAATCTTCGGGCCTCAACACCGGAGTTCATCTCGAGGCCGAGGTACGTAGTTACGTCTTTTGCTGGGCCTTTGATAAGGAATGATCGGTTTGTTGGCCAACTTTCTTCATCACTACCTGCACCTCATAACATTCTTCGCCTAGTCATTCGACTATTTTTTCTTGCCACAAGCCCGTCAATTAGTTAATTGGGATAGGTCGTGCGACATGAAGACATTGATAGCAATATGGGAGAAGTTCCCATCAGGCAACAACGGTTCTGCCTAACCTTACTTAGAAAATAATTCAAAACGAGCTTTCATAAAAAATAACCTAAGTCACATGAGAATAATCATTCAGGTGGAATTTTCTGAAAGAGTGTCCTTTTTCCAGCCTCCAATGGAATTGGGTCAGAGCAGAGGACTAATCACGACAGTGGTATAAATGTTTGGGTTAGAAACTATCTCAATTATAGTTTAGCAATGTGCAGGACACGTTTTTTGGGTTGAATGGGTCAATAGGTTTTTATGTCCTAGTTGAACTTGCTTGGATTTTGACTTTAGTGGTGCCAACCCTTAAAAGAAATTCTCTTCCGTTTGTCCAGAGACTTGAAAATTAGGAGAGGTGTTCAACAGGTTGCTCTCAACAAGGACGAAGTTGATGACTTCTCTTCAAAAAATTGGGTCTTGCTCTATTTTATTAATTCAATAAATATTGTCTTATTAGAATAAAGCAGGTGGAAGTTCTCTCCTTCTTTTGGTTTCAAGAATTTTATAACCTCTAACATTTGATAATAAGATCTTGTCGCTGTGCTTTGTTCGGGGACACATACTTGTTGAGTCGAACCGCGACGTTTCGTTATTATTTATTTGTGGCCTTTGATCATTTAACATAAATGTTAAATGTAAGAGATATAATCAATGATGCTTCTTTTAATCAATCTCTGAAATTGAGCAAGAGATTCCATGGTATTACAAACACAAAATGAGTTGACTGCTGCCCATGGGGATCAACGGGCATGTTAGTAAGAATCAACAAAACTATTTTCAAAAAGCAGGGGTGGCGGAGTTTGGTGTCCCGCGCCACGAGGGCTTGGGTGATTTCCATAATCTGCCCTAGGGTAAGGGCACTTGCAGATTCATATCCCTTTCCCTCATAGCATGTTTGGATGGAATTTGGGTGAAGGATTGGACTGATTTTGATGAAACCCTTATACATGGGTTTGAGAGAATCTGAGTCTGTTTAAATCTCAAGTCTTAAAAGAGCATCCAAACATGGACTATGACAATGGATTGAACTATTTTTTTAAACCTCCTCTATAGACTCGCCCAAACCCTTGTAACAAACAAGCCCTCAGTGATTTTGCCTTCAGTTTTACTAGCTTCCATATTCAAATCACCTAAGACCATCTTGATAGAATCCTTTACGGAGCTATGAGATTGAGCAGCAATTGAGTTGTCGAGCTTCGTTCAAGAAAAATGAGCAATTGAAAAGGTGAAAAATGGTGAAAAGGGTGAGGCGCTTGAGACTTCCGGCTCTCTTTGGAAGGAGGTTAGAGAAAGCTTGTTTATTGTATGGAAGTATAAATTAATGAGAAAAAAGTTTATTGGAAGTTGATTATGTGAACGATGTTATTCTATTCTTCAAATTTTCTGCATGTTTACCATTAAATAAGAAACCTTTATGGGAACTTAACTAGAGAATGTTTTGGTATTCTTAAGAAGAACAAAATTTTTTACTACTGCCAGTCATAAACCAGTCAGTTAGAAACTTTCTGATAATTTGCCTTTTTCGAGATTTTTTATGATTCTATTAGCGTCTTTCTTTTCATGGAGGTCACTTCACTCACCTAAGACAAAAGTATCAACGTCAGGCCAAGTTTAACAAACTAGATTTTTGAGATGATAAATAAATATATGGTAACTAGTACAGATAATCAACCTATGCCTCGTTTTATTAATATCTGAAAATGTATGAGCTCCATGGTATGACAGAGAGAGAGACAATAAACTTATAGCTACCTATGGAATCAATGGGCATGGCAGTATAAGAAATAACAAAACTAATCAATTTCCATGACCAGGGCTTGGAGGTGGTCCATGTGGAGATTGATGATGTCCCTGTCCCGGAGGGCTCGGGCCAGCCTCCTTAATCTGCACTAGGGTTCGAGCAGTTGTGCCTTTAGTTTTGCTAACTTCAAAATTCGAACCTTTCAAGACTTCCTCCATTGCTTCCTCAATGTTGTTTGGAGGCTTAGAAACATCTAGTGGACGAGCTTCGAAAAATGAAGATCCAAACAGCAGAAAAACCAGGAAAAGGGTGAGAGTACACTCGAGACTTCTGGCCATCTTTTTGGAAAGAGGTAACCAGTAGATGACTTGTGAGAAAGCTTTGTTTGTAGTACTATGGAGGGTTGTATATGTTTCATGTCTATTTATAGTGCATACATGCAGCTGTATTTGGAATCAAAGAGTTTTTATTTAATCTTAACTTCAAGAATTTATTTTAGGATGCATTGTCCATAATATTGTTTCCTTACATGAAAATAGCATTAATTTGCCTTCCAAAAATAAAAACTCTAATAAATCAATAACAATTTGTAATGTTAGAGAAATGTAAATTAAAATATTGTTATGAACAAAAGTCACAAATAAATAAACAGAACGAAATAAAAAAATTTAGATGAATTACTCGAAAGCCTACATATACGGCCGAAGCGCAGCGACAAATGTTCACTATCTATAAAGGAAAATTAGACAAAATTCTCTAACCTAAAGAATATAACCAAACATGGATACTCAAAATTGAGGGTCAAAATCCTCTGAATTTGGAGAAAAATTTAAAAGAAACTTTGTGGTCTATAATTTATTTATAAACTCAAAATACTTTGTCTCCTAATATAATAGGATTTCTAATTTGTCTTTGATCTAAATTTCAAGACATCCATCTTTCTAAATCCCTAAGGAGAACAAAATTCAAATCAATTTTCTATTAGAACTGGAATACAAGACACTCATAAAAAATCTCCCCCTTGACTTGTATTCTTGACTTCTATTCCATCAGGCCATCAAAACAAAAACGAATGATATAGTTGCCTTCTCCACAAATCTCGTGAAGGAATACAAATATTATAAGCATCCATAATAAATCTCTACCTTGACTTGTATGCCTACCAAGTCACCAAAACAAAAGTGAATAAAACCTATTGTCTTCTCTAGAATAGCAAATATTAGTGGCAACTAATAAGCATCCACAAATCTCGTGAATCTCTATTAGTGGCAATCATAATGTTTGATTAAGAGTTTTTGTAAAATCATTCTGTCAAAGCAACGATATATATATCTGAGTTCACCATAGAGTAAAACTGTTCTAAACACCAAATTTTTTTACATAAAATTTTGTTGTAGCCAACTCGTAACCGAAACTCTGATATCAGTTTATTATGAACAAAGGCCACACACAAATCAAATGAAACAAAATAGAAAAATACAGAACACAAATTTATGTAAATCAGCTTGAAAGCCTACATCCATGGGCGAAGCGTAGCTTCAAAGCTTTGTTATTAACAAAGGGATATTACACAAAATCCTCTAACCTAGAGAATACAGCCAAACATGGATCATGGATGCCCAAATTTGGAGGTCAAAATCTAGTTCAAAAGAAACTGAGTGATCTATAATCTATTTATAGACACAAAATACTTTATCTCCTAATATAATAGGATTTCTAATTGGTCTTTTATTCGAAGTGAAATTCTAAGGCATCCACCATTCTAAATCTCTAAAGATAACAAAGTTTAAATCAATTTCTTACTGGAACTGGAAATAAGACACACAACAAATTTCAATCTAATTGAAAGATTCTTTAATCATTAATGTCATGAGAAATTGTATTTAAGGGTGTCAAACGTGTCGGGTTAAACAGGTGACAGGTAAAAAACATGTAAACTTATACACAACTCGTTTAATAAACGGGTAAAAAATCTAACACAAACCGTTTAATAAATGGGTAACACGATACGACTAGTTTAACATGTCTAATTTTAAACGAGTCAGGTTGGGTAGGGTCGGGTCGGGTTACCACGATAAACCACCTGTTTGACTCATTTATCCATTTATTTAAAAATGCTATATAACTTTATAAACCTAACAAAGAGATATTACACCATATTACAAAGTACAAACTACAATCCAAAATAACCAAATTCTATCAACAAGCATATTACAATTCATAAATATAATCCGAAATAACACAATTACACCAAATAACAATCATATTACAAATTACAATGTCAAACAACCACAAATTTTATGATTCATAAAATTGCCATATTCCATAATTCACAAAATCTTGTGAAAGAGATCAAAACTCCAAAACAACCAACACCAGAATAGATCAAATCTCCAGAACACCCACCCTTGATCTTCCTTGTATTTTCTCAGCAACCCCGAACACCCAACACCATAATAGAAAACAAAAAATTGAGTTAGAAATTGTGTTTGGAAGAAAGGAAACTGAACCCCTCAACCCAACACCCAGAACCACTAAAAAATACCTAGAAAATTGTGTTTGGAAGAAAGGAAAATGAAAATAAAAAGCCTAGAGAAAATAATGATAAAGATAAAACAGTGGATTTCTCTCTCAGAAACAAAGTTTTATCAAGTAAGAGGCCCTCGCAAGAACAAGAAGAGGTAGAAAAATCGCTTTATGTGAAAACCTCCAAAACACACTTTATGTGAAAACCCCCAAAACACACTACTACAGAACAAGTCCGGCAAAACAAACAAAAACCCACCAAAACAAAATACACCCCGTTTCAGATCAGCCATCATAAACATAAAAAACACAAAACAAACACAAGGGTATAACAGAGATTTAGTACCTATTTTCACTTGTCTAAGATCTGAAATGTCTTTGCTCGAAGTCTTCGTGGTCAGCGACTCAGCCTGGCCCAAGAGTCCAAGACAACAACTGTTTGCAGCTTGCTGAGTTGCTGTCGAGCAAGAGGGAGAGAGAAAAAGAGGAGCAGAAGAGTGGAGACGCAACAAGGCTTCAGCCGTTCAACGATGAAAAAATTAGATTAGGGTTAGGGAAATATAATTTTATATATTTTCTACGTGGTTGTCACTAAAAAAATTTTTTTGGTTAATTTTTTAAAAATAATTATTAATTTATTATTATATTAATTTTATTTGAACGTGTAAACGGATTGACATATCTCACCCGAACACGGCCTGTTTATTAAACGTGTTAATCATGTCAATTCGTTTATCACCCGAATTCGTTAAGGTCTCACCCAAACCCACTTAATTTGTTTCGATTAATTATATCATGTTGAATTTTAACAGGCCTAATTGTACCCAATCCAAATAAGGGAAGCAGGTAATTTAGAGACAAAAGGTAGACCCTCAATCTAAAATTGTAGAGGTTAATATGTTATGTGAGAGCGACTACTATTGAAACTTGAATTTTTTAAAATTAATGGGGAGTCCAACTACGTTCCGTCACCTAGTGGGCATGTTTGACAATACACACAATCATACCTTTAAATGTAAATGTCATTTGATGATATCAAGATTAAAATCGTCATATAAGACAGATTGGCAGCATAGCAGAGGGATCATTAGCTCTAGGTACCAAGCAATCGACCCGCAAGTAAGGGGTCAAGACAGTCCAGCTCGGTCACAATTGAAACCAGTTCAATTATTTCCAAACAAGCTTGACTAGTCTAAATCAATTTAATCCACAAGAAGAAGAGTTATAAAGAGTAAAGCACAACATCAAACCCTACCCAAAGAGTAAATATCATGTCACCACCTTCTAGAATGTCATGTCATGATTAAGGAAATGTAACTTTTAACGACTATATATTTCTTCCTACATCTTAACAAACAAGGGTACTAACCCATGATTGCTTGAGGACTATTCTATTAGTTAATATAAATAGGCAAACCCTTGCCTTGTACCAAGGGATATGAGTAATTGCATGTCAAAATGCTGTAACTGTTTTCTTCCTTACCAAGCAATACATATCCTAAGAGCGAAAGATTCTATTAGAATGAACTAGTTAAACTTTTCAACTAATGAACTACTGAACCTCCTGTGTTCTTCAATTTCTATGGATAATTTACTTGTACATACCTCACATCCCACAAAATCTGCACGTTTACACTACCGGAAGACTCTTTAGCCTCCTTAACTCGTATTTCTCAATTTCAAACATTTGAAGATGGACTACCCAACGCATGTGAAACATTTGGGCTTGTTATATTACATCAGGTAAAAAATGGCCACTGCGTCAAGTAAGAACGATCGATCTTTGAACAGTTAAGTGACACAATAGTAACAGAGATATAAAACAATAATCATTTGCTTATGTATCAAAGCACAAACACATTATGAATTAACATACACCGTGTTCTTAATTTTTGCAATTAATGATTATAATACATAACAAAAACGAGATGAATGGTTGAGAATTATTTTAGATAGGGTAGTAAAAGGTTAAAAGTACCAAAAGCTTTTAGATATTGTTGTTGACAATCGCAAATGTCCAATCACTTTGCCAGATTATCAACCAATGCTTCTTTTTATTAACAGCTGAAGCTCAACAATCGATCACACGGTATTATAGGGACGTGAGGCTGACTATAGCAGATGATCGGAAGTTTAATTTTTGGGAGTGAATGTAAAAAGTTCAGACAATGAATTAGATGTGAACATTCAACCAAAGATGTTTTGGAGATTGACAATAACTAAAGTATTATGATCACAATTCAAGAAGTAACTTAAATAAAAACATCAACCTTATCCAAGCAGGGGCAGCCCAACTACTACGCTCTAGGCTTGGGCCCCCACTCAGATTGAAGGTCCCAAATTTTTGAGTGTATTAATATTCCATATCAAAATTTTGCATTTATAACGTGTTTAGTCCTAACAAAAAGACCCCATAAGAATATAACTCAATTAGAAAATTTTATGTTTAATAAATAAGACCCATAAATAGAAATCTATAAATGATTTAGTTGTATTGTTTTTATGAGAATGTTATATGAAAAAAAAAAAATTAAAATGTCACAACTTAATTTTTATTTACTCATTTCGAATTGAAAAACAAAAAATATATATTTCAAATGAATACAATTTAATATTTAATATTATTATTATTATTATTATTATATTAAATATTAATATGGTTTTATTTATAAATTTTACTTTAGACCCCAATTTCATTGGGTATCGAAGGATCTACTAGGCATTAGTTTTAGGATAAGTGATACCGAATCTGGATATGGATTGTGTTAGGTTAATTGTTTTGTATTTTTGAACCATACCACCCCAATTGCATAGCAAGTTTTTTTTTATTCATCCTTACTCTGTTAGAGGTGGCCATGGCAGCTCGGCCTGGAAAGTCTAGAGGATGGGTCAGCTTTTTGCTCCAATGTCCAGATAT